AGAGCTCCACCGTGGGGCAGAGCTCCACCGTGGGGCAGAACTCCACCGTGGGGCAGAGCTCCACCGTGGGGATGGTTTGGTGGAAGGGAAAAGTCTTCTCACAGGTCCCAGCTGTCTTGAGGGTGCAGGGATCCACTGCCAAGGGCGGGTGCTGCACGGGGAAGGTTTCCACGCAGGTCCCACCTGTCTCAGGGGTGCAGGGCCCCACTAGCAGGATTTCATGCTGGAGGGGGAAGGTTTCCACGCACGTCCCAAGGGTCTCAGGGGTGCAGGACTCCAGTGGCGAGGCTGTGGGCTGGAACGGGAAGCTGGTCCCTCCTTTGCTTTGAGGGGGCTCACAGGGGATCGCTGCTGGGCACACGATGTCCCCCACACACGGAGGTGCGCAGGAGTCGCAGGCAGCTGCGCGCTCAGGGCAGCAGGCATCTCTGGGCACAGGGACAGCAGGAGGCGGGCAGGAGGGTCCAACCTGAGGGCAAACCTCCGGGCAGGTGCCTGCGCCCTGATACTGGCAGGGGGCCACCTGGACAGTCTGCTCAGGACAGGGGTGCGCGTCCCGCGCCGGGCAGGCAGCCGGATCCACCGCGGCACAATGCGAAGGGCAAGTGTGGGTTTGCGCAGCCTCCCCCGGGCAGGCAGAAGCAGGCGGGCAGGGCAGCTTGCACTGGGAAGACATCATTCTGCACTGCAGGCAAGCCTGAGAGAAAAAGAGCAATTTGGTGTCGACTAACCCAAAGCATCAGACATTTCATTTGCTTGGCTGGTGAATTCTTCAGCAAGAGGGTTGCTATGCGTGCCACCATTTGGTCACGAAATAAGAAACAGAGAGAAAATCTGCTGGGTTTGGGTTTTCTTGTTTTTGTTTCTTTGTGGTTTTTGTTTGTTTGTTTGTTTGATCTTTTTTGCTTCAAATCCCGCAACAACTCCTTATGAAAAGAAGTTTGGCCATTCTCTTTTTCGATCTAAACTTCCAAACTCAGCTTTTCTTATTAAAATCTGTTTTCAGCCAAAGAATTTCACCCTAGCAACAATTTTTTTTTTTTTTTTTCACAGATAGCAATGGATCTGATTAACATTTTCATCAGGTTCATAAACCTCAAGTTAATCCTCTCTCTGTTCCAGACATTTTTCTCCTTGCCTTGAAACTCTCTTGCAGGAGAATACCCATCTCACAGCTACTGCGGGAGATGTAGCTATCGCTGTCTGATCTTCACCATGGCTAAAAGCAGCAACAGGCTAGACAGGTAAAAGAAAGACGCAGTTCAGGTTTACCGTGAGGCTACGCGCTCTTACCTGGGACCTCGGCCGCGGCCGTAAGCGACGCTGCAGACACTTCACCGCTTAGACAATAACTACGTGCACAGCAGTAGTATTTGTGTAGGTGCTCAGTGAGCGAGATGGTGTTTTATCCCTCTAAATCCAGTGCTGAGATAACAGGAAGCCTTTGGCAGAGCATCCATGGGAATTGCACAAAAGTAAGCGCGAAGGAAGATTATTACTCGTTCCAACGCCTATCACCAAGGAGGGGTGAGAGCCAATAAACTATTTCCCTTACGCAGCTGGTAGCCGTAATCTATTTCAGCACGTAGTAGAAAATTAACACCGGCAATAGGCTTGGATCCGTAGGATCCCAAAGATACTCACCCGGTTCAGTATCAGCGAATAAAGACAGCCAGCAGACTCGGCAACTTTAACTTGAGATATGATTTGTATATTCAGGAGTTTGGCCTTGGGAGACGAGGTGCCCCAGGCACAGACAAGCTACCCTTCGCCAACCTGGACCTGCCCCGCCTCTGCTCTGTGATGGACTATTTGACTAATTATTTTAATGGAAACCAGCTATTTCCGTGGTTGTAGCGTAACCTCGAGTGAGCAAAGATGGCTTTTGAATTCACGTGTCCTTTCAGCGGGGTTGACGCCAGGGAAGAATTTGGGAAATGAGTGGACTCTCAGCTTGCTCTCGAATAATCAGCCAGTCGTGGCTCAGTTTTTCTGTGACGGGCAAACATCCTCCAGCCCAACGCATCACACGGGCATTTTGAGACAGGATGGGATGTGGGATATGGGGGATTCTTTTATTTTTAGCCACATCTGACCCCTTTCTGTCAGTGCCACCGTCCTGCTCAGACATGGCGCTGCTGGTGGTAGTATCCTTGGCGTGTTTCTGGAAACTCTGACATCACCACTAGTCTTGTGATGTTTTGCATTTTCTCCTAAACCTCTGACTCAAATAACGTAACACTACTCCATCGCCATGATGTTGCCTTTATCCTCATGCACATACACCCCTGAAGAGCAGATGGGTGATGGGAGGAGTGACCACCAAGCTTTTCTCTTCAGCCCTGGTTTACCAAAGTCAGATGAATTATACTAAGGGTTAAATCAAAGCACTGTGGTCAGCAGTAACCGGCAACCCAAGTGATCACACCCCCCCCCAGATTTATTTATTTTGACTTAAATAACCAAAAGCCACCACACTGGACACCACCATCCTCAGCAGCGTGGACACGTATACTTAAAGGGAGAATAACGTGCAGACACAAGAACACACCTTCTTCTCCAGGTGATACGTGCCCTCGTCTCTGCATGCAAATAATACTGGTTTGATGCTTGTGTCACCGAGTGATTTAAGGCTGGTTTGGAGTGAGCAGAGAAGAAGTCTTTGATCTCTCACAGCGTTTGCTGGCTCTCCCTTCTCTCTTATATAATGAGGGATTTTCCGACAAGAACATCTTTTCTTGACCACAGTTGTGGCAGGCAGAAAGTGGAGACTCTGGACTGTCGTGCACAGCTCGCTATCTGTCGTGAACAGCGGTTTTTTTCGGTCTTGATTTAGCCTGTTCTACAATCAAAATGTATAACAGCAAACCGAAAAGGGCCACTACCACGGACACCGTGGTCAGAACACCAAACGCGAATGGTTCATCGCCCTGGAGCCCAACTGCATTGAGATGGGGCACTGCAGGCGAAGTCCTGAGAGGAGCCCAAGTGACACTGAAGACCTTAACGTGGTGTGAAGCCTTCTCCGGCTGCCCGACTGCCAAAATCGTAGCAAATTTTAGTTATGCTGGCATGCTGCACTTAGTTGAGGAGCAGAGATGTTATGAAGCCGCCCAGAAAACTGGGGTGCTCCCACGTACTGGGCTGCACGCTCTGGTGTACAGCAGCAGTTAGAGGGAGGTGAGTGCTCCCCTCCATCTGGCACGTGGGAGACCACGTCTGGATGCTGGGTCCTATTTGGGGCGCACAGCGCAAGACAGTCTCCAACAAACTGGAGTGAGTCCAGTGGAGACCACCAAGGTGGTCCAGGAGCCTTGAGGAGATGATGGATGGGGAGAGGCTGAAGGGCCCGCTCACCCTGGAAAGGAAAAGACTTAGGGGAGATCCCGGGGCCCCTTTCAGCTATCAGAAAGGTGCTAACGGAGAGTCTCTTCTCAGAGGTGCCCAAAGACAAGGTGAGAGGCCACGACTGCAGCGTGCAACAAGAGAAATTCTGACCAGATCATCGGGAATCGAGTTCTCTCTCAGTAGGAGGGATATTGTGTGCTGGGAAGAGCAAGCAAGCGTGAACAGTAGAGCAAAACCAAAGCTGCTTAGAGTCCTGTCCCATCTGCAATCCTGGTCTGTACGCTGTCTCAGGGGCAGGTGCAAGAAAATGTACCAAATGAACCTTTATCCAAACAAAGTTTAATCCCGAGGGGGATTGTTTCCGGGCTGTATCATCAGTTCTTTATTCCCCATCCCTCATGGAAAATATGCGGATCAGGAATTCGAGCTTGCAGGCAGCAAGCAGTCATAGCGCTGTATGAACTACCTCGATGGCTACGTTTCATTAAAAATTATAATGTTAGCAAGTAATTTAATGATTGGAGGTGGAGCAGGTCTGGATTATTAAAAATTTTATTTCCATACCCCTGAGGTGTCTCACTTCCGGAGACACGGACACCGAAATCATATAAAAGGATTCATATTGAAGTGTTTTTCAAACCATTTTGGTTTCATTTGCTAGTGGCTGGTGGTGAATTGGGTAAGTCTCTCTTGGCTTACTGGGAAGTAACGTGGTGGCTGGGGTTGTTTAATTTAAAATATTATCTGCAGAAGCAAGTTACGAGTGCTTCTGCTTAGTGAGATTTGTGTGTGGTACTTACCAAGCAGCTGAGCTAAGGATAAATATTCCTTCCATCTTCTACCGGTCGTTAGTTGCCGTATGTTTTGCAGTTGCTGAGCTTTCTCCATCAAGATGCATCTCGGGGTGGCCGAGAGCGGACTAACCTCTCTCTTTCCCCAATGACATCGCTACCCTTTTTTAACCAGGAAATTACTGGGTTTGAGAGACATCAAAAGGCAAGGCTAGGACTTCAAAGAAAATAAAAGTGGGAGGGAAGATAAGAAGTGGAGACTTGCAGGCTGCAAGGGTAAGCAATGCCTGGAAGGAAGTCTGGGTGAGAAGACCGAGGAGGACTTCTGTGGGAGAGGTGGGAAGGCAGCTGCACTGTGAACGTCAGATCCTTTCCGTGTGGGATTCTTCTGACGTGAAGGTTCCACTCATGTCCTCTAGCTTGAGGACCTGCGTGTGGAGAGGGCACTATCAGAAGACTAGGAGTCTCCTTTTTGGGTGGAAATAGGGAAGTAATGTCAAAGAGTGAATTCCAAACCAAGGGGAGCTGTGGGCAGAGGAGGGCTGTCATGACTTCTGACCCTGCATTATAATCTAGCTGACTCCAAATAACATCATTTTTCTTTCCTATTTTGAAAAGAAAACGTTGGAAACATACGTCCAACCAGTAGCTACAAACTTGTATAAAATGCTCTGATGTGGAGTTAGTGCCCTGCTGTGGATTTCAGGCTGTTTTCCCAGTATATTGTTCAGCATTCCACCGGAAAAAAAAAAAAAAGACTTTAGTTTAACTCAGTGTATAAAACAACCTTGTGAAGCTGAATGTTTGTTTTTCACAGAGTGTATTTCTTTCCTGCTTTCAGACATTACCCCTCCCGCAGAGATGCAGTGCCAAAATATTTGTCAACTGAGACAGCTCTGCCTTTCACCTCCCACCATCTTGGTGAAGAATTTTCCTGTGCATGAATGTGTGGATCCCTGTGGCTCCGTCTGTAACATCCAGTGCTTACCTCCATCGGTGGATCCCTGCTGCTATACTGGGATTGGTCGGGGCACCACCACTTACGTGAACCTGGGTAATCTTGGTGTGACACAGGCTGCCAGGTGTGTGGATCCGTGCTGCCTCGGAATCGCCACGTGTGTTCCTCCGTGCTGTGAGGAGGTGGCCAAGTGCACCACCACATGTTCAGACCCTTGCTGCTGCAAGGTGACCGAGTGCGACAGTAGATGTGAAGATTCATGCTGTGAGAAAGTCACCAAGTGCAGCAGCACACGTGTGGATCCGTGCTGCAAGGAAGTGACGAAGTGTGTGGATCCGTGCTGCAAGGAAGAGACCAAGTGCACCAGGACGTGTGTGGATCCGTGCTGCAAGGAAGTGACGAAGTGTGTGGATCCGTGCTGCAAGGAAGTGAGCAAGTGCACCAGGACGTGTGTGGATCCATGTTGCAAGGAAGTGAGAAAGTGTACCACAAAGTGCGTAGATCCATGCTGCAAGGAAGAGACCAAGTGCACCACAAAGTGCGTAGATCCGTGCTGCAAGGAAGAGACCAAGTGCACCACCAGATGTGTAGAACCGTGCTGTAGTGAGGTGTCCAAGTGCACCGCGACATGTGTGGATCCGTGTTGCAAGGAAGTGACCAAGTGCACCACCACATGTGTTGACCCATGTTGTGGGGAAGTGACCAGATGCACCACAAGGTGCATAGATCCGTGCTGTGGAGGTGTCACCAGATGCACCACTAAGTGCGTGGATCCCTGTTGCGGCAGAGTGACCAGGTGCACCACGAGGTGTGTAGATCCCTGCTGTAGAGAGGTAATCAGGTGTGTGGCTCCATGCTGTGGAGGAGTGATAAAGTGTGCTACCAGGTGTGTGGAACCGTGTTGTGGATGTGCGATCAGATGCGCTACTAAGTGTGTGGAGCCATGCTGTGGGCAGGTGGCCAAGTGCACCACCAGATGTGTGGATCCCTGCTGCCAGGAGGTGACCAAATGCACCACCAGATGTGTGGATCCTTGTTGCCAGGAGGTGACCAAGTGCACCACCAGATGCGTGGATCCTTGTTGCCAGGAGGTGACCAAATGCACCACCAGATGCGTGGATCCTTGTTGCCAGGAGGTGACCAAGTGCACCACAACATGCATGGATCCTTGTTGCCAGGAGGTGACAAAATGCACCACCACATGCGCGGATCCCTGCTGCCAGGAGGTGACCAAATGCACCACCAGATGCGTGGATCCTTGTTGTCAGGAGGTGACCAAGTGCACCACAACATGCGTGGATCCTTGTTGTCAGGAGGTGACCAAGTGCACCACAACGTGCGTGGATCCTTGTTGCCAGGAGGTGACAAAATGCACGACCACATGCGCGGATCCCTGCTGCCAGGAGGTGACCAAATGCACCACCAGATGCGTCGATCCTTGTTGCCAAGAGGTGACCAAGTGCACCACCACGTGCGTGGACCCCTGCTGCCAGGAGGTGACCAAATGCACCACCAGATGCGTGGACCCCTGCTGCCAGGAGGTGACCAAGTGCACCATGACGTGCGTGGAGCCCTGCCGTGGGGGCGTTCAGGTTGTGACGAGGTGCGTGGATTCCTGTCCCACGGCCTGCGTTACACAAACCATCCCGCTGTGCACGGGTGTGTGCCCATGTGGCCAGCGCTGCTCCATCAGATGTGCCGATGTCTGCTATCGCAAATGCAAGGCTCCTTGAGGGGCTGCACGTGGGGGCTCCGGGAGTGCGACCCACTCTGCAGTGCCAATGCCCTGCAGAGCCTCCCAAGGTTAAAGAAATGAAAATGGTTTGCGAATCCCTGAACTTGCCAACGTCTTCCTCACATCTTTGTACTCCTTAGTTCCCTTCCTGTCCTAGGAAGAGTAAATCCTCAAATGGTTTTCCTTGAGTTCTGCATAATTTCCGCTATGTTTATCTCGTGAACAATGCCTTTTCTTGTAACATGTAACTAATTGATCTTGTGCCCCCAGGAATATCGCCTGGGAGAGAGATTCAGGAATTCTTTGCACTGATAGAGATGGAAGAATTTCCCTGTTCTTTCTTTTCAATTTCTTTTATGAAGCAATAAAACCAAAGTGATCTTGGAGTCAGCTGTCTGGAAGTGTTTCCTTCACTTCTGCCTTCCCCCGGACTCATTCTTTCTCCTTCTAATTTCTTCCTAAAAGCCTGATCTCTGTAGAGCGGCAGCTCCTGCTAGAACTCATAGGAAGGTCGAAGGCAATAGCCGGGGACCTGGGACTCATCTAGGATATCCCAGATCATTGCTGGGAGAGGGGATGGGGCACATCATGTGAAAGAATCACTCTCCCATGGTTTTGAAAAGATTTTGAAAACCCAATCATCTGTTGAAGTGCTCCTCTGGAGCTCAGGGAGCTCAGGGCCAGCCCTGTCTGCATCCTGCCGGCAGAAACAAAACGTTCCATTACCAGCAATGGGTAAACAAGTCACTAACGAGGGGAAGATGAGCAGGTCGGGAGACTTTGTCACCCGTGTGTAAGAGGTCCTATCTCAGTCTTTTGCAATTGACTTCTATTTCCTTGTCTCTGGTGGCAATTGGGCAAGCCCCATCAGTTAGGGAGGTCGACAGGGATTCACAAGCACCGGGTCCTGCAGAGATGTCGTTAGGAGTAGCAAGGTGTCTTGGAAAATTTTGTTAACGCTCCATGAATATCTGCTACCAGGTTCCCAGTGCTTCCTCCTCAGCGCCAAATTTGTTTGCAAATTGCTCGCCCAGGAGGAAGCAACGTCCCCAGGGACTCCAAGTCACAGGCCAAGGGTGGTGCTCTGCAGGTTTCCCGAGCAGAGGTGGTGCCGAGTGGGGTTGGGTTCAGCAGCCACTGCTGAAGGGAGGAGAGAGGGGAGGCAGGCTGCAGGGGAAGCCAGCCCAGCTGCTGAAGCAGCAGATGTGGGTGCAGCTCTGTCTGTGAGCACCCACTGGCTCCCTCTTTAAAGATGCCCCAGGGCACGTGGCGGGTGACTAACCTGTAATTATCACTGTCTCACTTTTTCTAGCAGAGGACTCCGACCAATAGTGGGACATGATAAATCATACCCAAATGGATGCGGCATTGCACGCGGGTTGGGGGGGATCGGGCCTTGCACAAATCATTCCACCCTCACAGATCTTCTGCTTCCGTCCTCCTCCTCCTCTCCCAACAGGTTGTGGCAGACCCTGGCTCTCGCCACTGGTTGCACGGCACGCGTCACAGAGGGTGTCTGGACTTTGGCAAATGCTCTAGGCATCACCTACGCACAAATGATGCACAGGAGAAACACCAACCCAACCGAGTCTTCCTAATCACCTCTCTGTGGAGGTCTGATTCGTCTCTGAAACTCCTTAAAAGGATCTGTGCCAGCAACAATTTCCTTTGCTCCCGTTCCCAAATCAAACGGAACGAAATTCTGGGAAATATGAAACTGTAGGTGGAAAAAATGCCCTTACAGATAAGATTTTTCCCTTAAACTACTTCTCTGTAGCGTCCTCCCGATGGCACGATGCTTGCATTACGCTGAATCCTCCCTACGGACATAGAAATTCAGATTTTAAGAGGCCGAGACCATTGGCAGAGAGTAGACACCTAATTTCCAGGTGAACATCGCAGGATGTGCTGTAGAAAGCGAAACGGAGATCCTCCCTCCCTGAACACCTGAATGTTTATGCCGCATCTACGAAACTGCCGTAACAGTTAGGGAGAAAATTGCTGTTCAGCGTAAGCAAGCTGAGTAGGCCAACAGCTCTTGCTCTGTCAGGCAATGTGCTCTGATCTCTAAAATGTTTTCCTCAGAGCTCAGCACACAGTTTTATTCATTAATGGAAAAAAAAAATTCCGAAGGGGAGTTGGATATTGGGAAAATCAAAGCAAGTATCTGCGACAGTCAGAAGGGAAAAGATAAAACAGATTATTTTTTTTTCATAGTCGCAGCTAGTTCCTCTTTTTTTTTCAGATCTAATTGCACTCGGATGCTCACTTATCATTCTTCACGGAGCACTCACCTTCCTGAGTAAACAGGAAAAGAGGCGGATAGTGCCATGTTTGGGTTCCTCTCAGCCCCAGAAGTAACGATCTAATTACTTGATCAAATAGTCCCTAGGGCACGGACTAGACTGAGCCACTTGTTTTCATGTGAGGCTAATTGCATCCTACACTCAGCCTCCTGGCATCTCAGCTATGCGACAATTTCCAAAGCCGGGGCGACGGAGCAGCAGCCCCGAGACCCAGCCCCAGCTGGAAGCTGCCCTCGGTGCCGGATCACACCCTCACCACCTTCCCCGGGTAGTTGTGGTAGGGAATGACGAGAGGGGAAAGTCGGGTGTAATGAAGCCCCAGCCTTTAAAATTTAATTGCAACCAAGTGCAGGGTGGGGAGCTGGGAAGGCCTTGCCATGCTGAGAATATGGGGAGAATCCTCCATTTCTACGAAAACGCGTTGCTCACCAAAATGTGGGTAGGGGGATGTGGCGCATAAGCAAAATAACATTCCTGATGCCAAACAGTACTGGATGCCACAGATGGAGAAAGCTTACTCGGGAGGCTTTTAAATAAACCAAGGGGTGCTAAGAAATCCAGAGGTGTCATATTTTTAAAGCAAAGCATTCAGCAGTTTATTAAATCGTTTGTGTGGGGTTTTTTTTGTTTTTGTGGTTTTTTTTTTTTTTTTTTTTTTTTAATTTTTATTGGTTTGGTTTGGTTTGGTTTCCTAGCAAAAATCCAGCTGAACAGCCCCGAATGGTCCATATCCCAACAGTCGCACGAGGGAAAAAAAAAAAAAAAAAAATC